ATTACTAATCAAAAGAATTATTATTTAGATGTTTATGAAAGTGCTGAAGCTGCCTATAATTATCTTGTAAATAACGAAAAGATTGATCCGGCTGATATTGTAATATTTGGTATTTCTATTGGAACTGGACCTAGCTCTTATTTGGCTGAAAAGTATCCAGTGGGTGGATTGATTTTACAAACACGTAAGTAGTAGTAGTAATTGAAATTTGATTGCTGAATCATATCAGCATTGAAATCGTAAGTTTTACATTTGTGAAAATTCTCAAAAATTTTGACATTAACAGTATTTTACATGTTGGATTGGGAAGATCATTCCTTGCACCTATTGTACCATTCATGAGACCATACGATATGTTTTGTAATATTCATAAAGTTTCCAATATCAAAGCACCAACATTGATTATACATGGTGATAGAGATAGTATTGTACCTTATTCACATGGAAAGGAAATTTATGAAAATGCTAAAAACAAATTTAAATTTATTACAGTACCAGGAGCTGATCACAATGATATTTTTGATTATTATTCAATTTTGGATTTTAAAGAAGATATCAAGGAAGTTTTTAAAGCAACAAATCTCAACGAATAAAAACTGTAATATTTGGCGCCAAATTTAATTTACAGTTTTAAAAAAAATTAATGAACAACTGTTGTAGCTTTGTTTTAGTAGGCTAATCATCGGCAGTAAATAAATCAGCAAAATATACAACAACAATAGCCTAAGTAAATTAATAGTAATCGGATCAAGATGGCGACCCCAACAACTCCAAATGTACCACCAACAAATGTAAATAGTGAATATTCAGCAATGATGAAGAAAATAGAAAAGGAATTGGAAGAAGTTTATGAGACGGAAGATGGAGAGGAATTTTGTTTTCAATTATCAAATGAAATAATAAGGATAGCTTCAATAATGATTGAGGAAAGACATTTTGAACGAGAGAGTATTCAATATACTGTGGATGATTGTGTATTTAAAATGTTTAATGTTTTAGATGTAGGTAGACGAGATATTAGATCATGTTATTTATATGGATATTATCACAAAATGTTTTTGGATTTAATTAGTATACATTCCCACAAAAAGACGAAGGAGATGCAGAATTATTCTTAATGGATCAATCACCTCTGGAACCAAGTTTAGAACCTGATAGAATTCCAAATGATTCATGTGCTAGAGGAAGTGTACCAATGCGAAC